TTGTTTTGGTTCTGTCCATTTGTAGCTTGTTTTTGGACACAGGTCCAGGAATGGCTAAAGGATTGCAATATTTACCTGGAACTAACCTTGCAGATAGCATTACTGGGTGATCTGAAAAGTCATAGTCAATCAATCAATAATATAATAATACTTTTAGCAAAAATGTTTATTTTTAATTCACAATCTGTAGAAGCAATGAGAATAGAAAGGTTCAGAATTTTTGTAAAACATCACAGTACGGTTGAAATATATATGGCAAATAGAAATCCTATATGGATGGTGTTAAGAGATAGATGGGAGGTATTGAATAGAGTTGAAGGATGGGACTAATAACAAATAACAACAAATAATAACAAAGATAGCTAATAATGTAAGCATACTGTGTCCATAATAAGTATATAGGTTGTATGTTGGGAGCTTTTGGGAAGGAGCACAGTTAGAAAGATATGGCATATAGAAGCAAACCGGATGGACACCATGAAAATGATTGGAGAGGTTGAGAGTAGAAGAAGTTCAGGAGCAAAAAAAAAAAATATATATATATATATATAATATAATTATTGTAAAATGAACTCTGTCCATAAGGTGTAGATAGTAAGTATAGACCGGAAGTAGAGGCCTGGGCATTGTTGTTCACTAATTTACTCCAAGTAGGGAAAGGATGGTGGGGTTGAAAAGTAATAAAGGGGAGTATATATATAAAAATAAAAAAAACATGGGCGATTGGAAGTGATGCAGACAATTACATTGATAGAAGATTCAATCTATCTGCAATATTAAGCTGATCCATTCCCCCCCCCCAAAAAAAATATATGAAAATAAAATAAAATATATATATAAAAATAAAAAACTCTGCCTAGAAGGTCAGCTGTTAGAATTTTAGGGAACTTCTATCATTTGAGGGAACTTGTATCATTTGAGGGAACTTGTATCATTTGAGGGAACTTATATCATTTGAGGAAACTTGTATCATTTGAGGGAACTTGTATCATTTGAGGGAACTTGAATCATTTGAGGGAACTTGACTCATGCAAAGTATTGATCATTCTATAATCCCTCCAAAGGCATTTGTATATCCAGGACAGCTGATTTCATAAGATATAAAAAGCTCTCTCTAGTCTCTTTGAGAGAGATGAGTCAATCCTACACCAGTCAGAGCAGCTCTTTGGGAAGCGGTGATGCAGTAACACGGACAGAATCGAGTGATAAGTTTAAGATTTTGAAGCCAAAATCAGAGGCCACTTTTAGTGGAAGCTTTATTTGTTGTGAAATTATTAAACACTGATTGATACATTTCTTAAATTATTTTCCCTCTGAACACTCACTGGAAGTCAATCGTCACAGGTCTGAAAGTATTTTTTATTGTCATGCAAAACAGGGAAGAGAATTGTCAGAAGTGGCAAATCCATCATATTAACCAGGTTTCCATCCAACCTTTTTATGAGCGTAAAGTACATTTCGGATATAAAATGTCACGACAGGCCTGATGGAAACAATACATTCGTCGGTAGACTTTTCAAATGTCGACAAAACAAAATACGCTAGACAAGGTGGGATTTTTTTGTGTCTGTAAAATGCGAGAAATGGTGGTGGATACGCTTTTATGCGCAAATATTTGTATAATTAACCATCATATTGAAGTAAACTTGGAGTCACACGATGACATGTTGTGTGGTCGTCCCACTACGACTTGGGAACGCATTCAGTTTATTAGGCTACAGATTAAATAAGTTATGATGAACTTCACAGGGTGGTGATGAGCTTGATGCTCCTTTCCAATAAATACAGACGGTTTTATTCTGGTGACATGATGATCGATGCGTTTGACAAATAAAAATAATCTCTCTCCTTTGTCCAAAATAATCTCATCATGTAGGCTATACACACACTTTATATACAAGTTGTTGGCTAGAGCGCACATGCCAATACCAGAGTGGGCACATTCGCTATATAAATGCAAATTTCTTTGTGAGAAAACCATCAGTAGAGTTGAAAATGCGATGGAAACCATTTAACTATTCGGTACATGGGAATTTAACCGCAAAGTTATTTTTATGTGCAAGATGTCATCACGCACAGCCTTTTATTTCACAACAAGTACATTTTGATGGAAACTAATCTCTGGTGGGAAAATATTATTTTTATGTGGATTTTTGAATATTTGCATGAAAATCTGTCACCAATTGGATGGAAACCTAGCTACAGATTATCTTTGGAAAAGTATTGAGGGACAATCCTTAGATTTGGCAAAGTTAAACCACCCCAGCTCTCTAGCAAGTTCCATTTCTTAAATGCATGAACTGTTTTTTGACAAGCGCCCATTAACAAAATGTACAAAAAACACGAAATATTTTCAAAAACTCCATATGCATTTTTTTACCAAATAGGCTTATCAACATTAGACTGCAATTAAGTTTAGGTAAAGACACTGTAAACAATGGCAGAGAGCTCATGTTTGATTGAAACAGCAGTTATGAATACTTTGATGATGTATTCACTCTGTGTTGTAGCCTATAGTATAGAAATGTCACACTGTAAACCAGAGATATTTCCGCTATAGACAAAAAGCTTTATTTGTGTTTTTTTCTCATAGCTTTCCTTTGCCAAAACAAGAACATTTCATATGAAATCAAAACATGTTTTATCCACATTAAAACCAACAAAAAATAAATTGATCTGATAACCACCCATTTTCTTCACCTTTAAAAAAAATCATTACAGGACTACAAGTACCAGAATGCATTGTGATACAAGCAGGAAAACCACAACAACAATAGCAAACAGCTGACTTCTCTGTTTGACTGCAGAGGCTGGTACCCTCATTGCTCTAGTATTTCAAGGGTCTACATTATAATTTCATTTCACATATGAATAACTTCTGCTGCTTCTTTGAAAAGTAAAGTAAGAAATAACATGGAATAAAGTAAAATATAAAAGTTGTATTTAGCTCACTTTTTTCTGAAATGTAGTTTATTTTTGTGTTCCTTCGGATGTTCTCGGCCAGCTATCTTTAAATCGTCGGTCATGACCGTGGAGAGGAGTGTTCTATCACAAAGCCACAACATTATTCTCATACACTTCGGTCCCCCAGTCTTTTTCGCGAAACGGAAAAGTCAATTTTGTAAAGCGGAAGTGCTACTGAGATTCCAAACTCCCACTGGAGTTTTTTTGGGGCCATCTATCTCCCCATTTCTGTCCCCTTTAAGTGTACATGGAGGTCTGGCTCCCTTAGTGTTGCACAATACATGGGGAGCTCACATTGTCCATTCCCCTGGTGATGCCGGGCCCATGTCTCCAGAATGACCCAGCAGTCGACAGCCTTAGTACTGGGACTCAGACAAGAGGACCTGACATAGAGCATGGGCAATGTGTCAATACGGCGAAAACCGGCACGAAACGGTTGCCAAAACCCTCACATTTCAGAGCATGAAGAGAGAGAGGGGTCAGAGAGAAGGAACATAGAGAGAGGGGTAAGAGAGAAGAGAGAGAGAGAGAGAGAGGAGAGAAGAGAGAGAGAGAGAGAGGAGAGAGAAGAAGAGGGGTAAGAAGAGAGAGAAGAGGGGGTAGAGAGAGGAGAGAGATAGAGAGAAGAGGGGGAAGAGAGAGAAGAGAAGAGGGGTAGAGAAGAGAGAGACGAGGGGGTAGAGCGAGCGATATAGAGAGCGCGCCGGGGTCTCTGAGATAGCGCTCGCGCTGCCGCGGTTTCGCGCGCGAGTCTTTCTCCTGCGAACTCTATCCCACCGCAGCATGAGATGGAGAGACTCGTTTTGAATTCAGCACCAGTGGAAAAAAGGCATTTGTTTGTTTTTACATAACATTCTTTTTTTTGTATGACAAATAGATCCTCTTTTTAAAAATTGTACACTGCCCTGTCCGGGATGGGACCCCTATGGCATGTTTGGGAGGGTCTACACAGAGCTCTATGGCTGCTTACGACCTCGTTGGAGAGCCACGACAGCGCCGTCCCACCCCCCTGTTCTCCCAGTATAAAAGTTAAACAAGTGTCTTTGGCAGATTTACAGAAAAGGTCCTCATCTACTCTGGGATGCTACTGCTAGAAATTGCAAAGACGTTAGAGACTGGTCAGAGACACGAGAGAGAGAGAGAGAGAGAGACACGAGAGAGAGAGAGAGAGAGAGAGAGAGAGAGAGAGAGAGAGAGAGAGAGAGAGAGAGAGAGAGAGAGAGAGAGAGAGAGAGAGAGAGAAATAAAGAGAAGGTTCACCTTTGATCTATCACTGCAGGAGCCAAGGTGACAAAGAAATATACTACTGTACAATACACTGTAACAGAATGAACATGTACAAGTGGGACGCTATTGAGCATAATCAAAGCACAAAGACTCAAAGAGAAACACAAACAGTCCGAAGATGAAGATGCACATGAGAGGGTCCTTAAGTGGAGAAGACGTCGCTGTCGACGACAACAGTCACTGTCGACCATCGACCATCCAGACCAGTAGGAGGGGAGTTCGTGCTCAGTTCGGTTCAAAACACCCTCCATTTCCTGCACATCCCAACACTCCTCTGCAGCTGGGAGGCTGTTTTTGTAAGGACTTTAAGGGACTCCTTCCTGTCTTTAAGGGATTCCTTCCTGTCTTTAAGGGACTCCTGTCTTTAAGGGACTCCTTCCTGGTCCCCCAGGACTACTCCACTTAATCACCACCTGGACTTGAGCTGTGGGCTGAGGGTCAGAGGCCAGAGGTCATGAAGCAAGGGTTACGCTGAGGAGTTGGAGGGTTCTGGGTGGGGGAGGGAGGGAGGGAGGGAGGGAGGGAGGGGCAGTATGAGTTTACAGTGTCCAGATGGTGCATGTCGAGGGGATGAGGGTGGAGGGTGGAGGAGAGTGGACCGATATGAGAGGAGGAGAAGACAGGCGGGGGGAGATGGGGTGTGGAGGAGACATGTCTCATTGCAGGGTTCAGAGGCGGAAGATTCAATGGGAAGTCGGGTGGGGGTGGGGTTCTGTTTCAAGGGGGGTACGGCCGGCGGGCCCAAGATGCTATGAGGAGGACAGGAGTAGCGTGAGCAGCATGGCCAGCATGAGGGAGAAGCAAGGGGCGGCCACGCAACAGCCACCGGTGCTGTCGTCTGTCAGGAAGGGCTCTGGGGACTCATACACTGAGTCATCTGAGAGAGAGAGAGAGAGACACAGAGAGAGAGACAGAGAGACAGAGAGAGAGAGAGAGACAGAGAGACAGAGACAGAGACATAGACAGAGAGAGAGAGAGAGAGAGAGAGAGAGAGAGAGAGAGAGAGAGAGGAGAGAGGAGAGAGAGAGAGAGAGAGGTTATGCTTCAATCAGGTTGCAATATAATACAGTCAAATCCTTGTGCAGTTTCAATCTTGCTATATCTGGCCTTTGTCAAAAGCAAACACGGCAAAGTTGACGCCTTTTGGTTCTTTTCTTCTCCGTGACCCAGATCTGATCTGTCAGTACATACAAGTGTGATGTTGTTTGCACCTCTCACTTTCACTGTCATCTCCAATGTCGACAAGGGCAGAGTGAGAAGCGTGTTGTTGACAGGTCTGTGCTGGGAGACTCGTCTTGAAGACACGAGTCACACCAATAGAGAGACAGCCAATCAAACAGTGGGCGGGGCCTAAACACTGCTCTGGTGTACGATGTCCATTTTAGGACACCCGAGGCTGAGGCTTAACAATGAAGGGTTGATAACTGACTCAAGGAGAGTTGAGGTGTGAGGCTGACGGTGTCTTAAAATGTACTCCGTACTAGCATATTTAACATTAGCTAAAACACCTCAGCTCTCTTTCCTTACAGCTCCCTCGAGGATCTCTATTTAACATTACTTTAATAGCTTTCTGATTTCCTGACTAAATATTAGTAGTAGGCTGTTTCCATTCTGCCAAAATATGGGGGGGGGGGTTGTGTTCTGGGAAAACCCAAGGTTAACCCCCGTCTCCCAAACAAGATTAGGATTTGGCCTTCTCAGAGCAGATGAAAATAAACAGCCACATAGCAGACTTAGGGAAAGGAATTTTGATAATGGTTTGGGCAGAGGCTGGATGGAGGCAAGGCCAGATTGTTTTGTATAATAAAGGTCTTAAACAGACAGGTCCCCACATTCTCCACCATACTGCAATTGTAAATATGCACACATACATATATACAGTTGAAGTCGGAAGTTTACATACACTGAGGTTGGAGTCATTAAAACTCGTTTTTTTAACCACTCCACACATTTCTTGTTAACAAACTATAGTTTTGGCAAGTCGGTTAGGACATCTACTTTGTGCATGACACAAGTAATTTTTACAACAATTGTTTACAGACAGATTATTTCACTTATAATTCACTGTATCACAATTCCAGTGGGTCAGAAGTTTACATACACTAAGCTGACTGTGCCTTTAAACAGCTTGGAAAATTCCAGAAAATGATGTCATGGCTTTAGAAGCTTCTGATAGGCTAATTGACATAATTTGAGTCAATTGGAGGTGTACCTGTGGATGTATTTCAAGGCCTACCTTCAAACTCAGTGCCTCTTTGCTTGACATCATGGGAAAATCAAAAGAAATCAGCCAAGACCTCAGACAAAAAATTGTAGACCTCCACAAGTCTGGTTCATCATTGGGAGCAATTTCCACATGCCTGAAGGTACCACGTTCATCTGTACAAACAATAGTACGCAAGTATAAACACCATGGGACCACACAGCCGTCACACTGCTCAGGAAGAAGACGCGTTCTGTCTCCTAGAGAGGAACATACTTTGGTGCGAAAAGTGCAAATCAATCCCAGAACAACAGCAAAAGACCTTGTGAAGATGCTGGAGGAAACAGGTACAAAGTATCTATATCCACAGTAAAACGAGTCCTATATCGACATTACCTGAAAGGCCGTTCAGCAAGGAAAAAGCCACTGCTCCAAAACTGCCATAAAAAAGCCAGACTACGGTTTGCAACTGCACATGGGGACAAAGATCGTACTTTTTGGAGAAATGTCCTCTGGTCTGATGAAACAAAAATAGAACTGTTTGGCCATAATTACCATCGTTATGTTTGGAGGAAAAAGGTGGTCGCTTGCAAGCCGAAGAACACCATCCCAACCGTGAAGCACAGGGGTGGCAGCATCATGCTGTGGGGGTGCTTTGCTGCAGGAGGGACTGGTGCACTTCACAAAATAGATGGCATCATGAGGAAGGAAAATTATGAGGATATATTGAAGCAACATCTCAAGACATCAGTCAGGAAGTTAAAGCTTGGTCGCAAATGGGTCTTCCAAATAGACATTGACCCCAAGCATACTTCCAAAGTTGTGGCAAAATGGGTTAAGGACAACAAAGTCAAGGTATTGGAGTGGCCATCACAAAGCCCTGACCTCCTATAGAACATTTGTGGGCAGAACTGAAAAAGCGTGCGTGAGCAAGGAGGCCTACTAACCTGACTCAGTTACACCAGCTCTGTCAGGAGGAATGGGCCAAAATTAACCCAACTTATTGTGGGAAGCTTGTGGAAGGCTACCCGAAACGTTTGACCCAAGTTAAACAATTTAAAGGCAATGCTACCAAATACTAATTGAGTGTATGTAAACTTCTGACCCACTGGGAATGTGATGAAAGAAATAAAAGCTGAAATAAATCATTCTCTCTACTATTATTCTGATATTTCACATTCTTAAAATAAAGTGGTGATCCTAACTGACCTAAGACAGGGAATTTTTACTAGGATTAAATGTCAGGAATTGTGAAAAACTGAGTTTAAATGTATTTGGCTAAGGTGTATGTAAACTTCCGACTTCAACTGTGTGTATATATATATATATATATATATATATATATAGTACCAGTCAGAAGTTTGGACACACCTACTCATTCAAGGGGGTTTTCTTCATTTTTACTATTTTCTACACTGTAGAATAATAGTGAAGACATCAAAACTATGAAATAACATATGGAATCGTGTAGTATCCAAAAAAGTATTAAACAAATCAAAATACATTTTATATTTGAGATTCTTCAAATAGCCACCTGTTGCCTTGACGACAGCTTTGCACACTCTTGGCATTCTCTCAACCAGCTTCATGAGGTAGTCACCTGGAATGCATTTCAATTAACAGGTGTGCATTCTTAAAAGTTAATTTGTGGAATTTCTTTCCTTCTTAATGAGTTTGAGCCAATCAGTTATGTTGTGACAAGGTAGGGGGGTATACAGAAGATAGTCCTATTTGGTAAAAGACCAAGTCCATATTATGGCAAGAACAGATCAAATAAGCAAAGAGAAACGACAGTCCATCATTACTTTAAGACATAAATGTCATTCAATACGGAACATTTCAAGAACTTTGAAAGTTTCTTAAAGTGCAGTCTCAAAAACCATCAAGCGCTATGATGAAACTGGCTCTCATGAGGACCGCCACAGGAATGGAAGACCCAGAGTTACCTCTGCTGCAGAAGATAAGTTCATTAGAGTTACCAACCAGAAATTGCAGCCCAAATAAAAGCTTCACAGAGTTCAAGTAACAGACACATCTCAACATCAAACTGTTCAGAGGAGACTGTGTGAATCAGGCCTTCATGGTCAAATTGCTGCAAAGAAACCATTACTAAAGGACACCAATCATAAGAATAAACTTGCTTGGGCTTTTGGTCAGGAGTCCAAATTTGAGATTTTTGGTTCCAACCGGTGTGTCTTTGTGAGACGCGGTGTGGGTGAACGGATGATCTCTGCAGGTTTATTTACCCACCGTAAAGCATGGTGGAGGAGGTGTTATGGTGTGGGGGTGCTTTGCTGGTGACACTGTCTGTGATTTATTTAGAATTCAAGGCACACTTAACCAGGATGGCTACCACAGCATTCTGCAGCGATATGCCATCCCATCTGGTTTGGGCTTAGTGGGACTATCATTTGTTTTTCAACAGGACAATGACCCAACACACCTCCCAGCTGGGTAAGGGCTATTTTACCAAGAAGGAGAGTGATGGAGTGATGGAATTCCTGACTAAATATGGCACCGACAGAGAGGGCTGCCTCGTTTCTAGTCCTTTCATTGTTAGCCCAGAAAATCTTAAGCGTAATTATATACAGCCGAGAAGAACTATTGGATATCAGAGCGGCGTCAACTTAGTAGCACTACGACCAGGAATACGACTTTCCCATAGAGGATCCTTTGTTCGCACCACCCAGGGCATTTGAACTGATTCCAGAGGCCGACCGACTTAGGAGGCGCGCACACCACCCATCGCTTCCGATTATATTACTCGCTAATGTCCAGTCCCTAGACAACAAAGTGGATGAGATCAGAGCAAGGGTTGCTTTCCATAGAGACATCAGGGATCGTAACATACTCTGTTTCACAGAAACATTGTTCTCTCGGGATATACTGTCCTTGTCCATACAGCCACCTGAGTTCTCAGTACATTGTGCCGACAGGAATAAACATCTCTCTGGGAAGAAGAGAGGTGGGGGGTTATGTTTCATTACTAACGACTCATGGTGTAATTGTAACAACATACAGGAACTCAAGTCATTTTGTTCACCCGACCTAGAATTCCTCACAATCAAATGCCGACCGTATTATCTCCCAAGAGAATTCTCTTCGGTTATAGTCACGGCCATGTATATTCCCCCTCAAGCCAATACCACGACGGCCCTCAAGGAACTCCACTGGACTTTATGCAAACTGGAAACCATTTATCCTGAGGCTGCATTTATTGTAGCTGAGGATTTTAACAGTATATTGACTGTAGCACTTGCGCTGGAAAAATGCGCGACCATTGTTACACTCATTTCCGCTATGCATACAAGGCTCTCCTTTCGGCAAATCTGACTACGACTCCATTTTGCTCCTCCCTTCCTATAGGCAGAAACTCAAAGCAGGAAGCACCCGTGATTAGGACTATTCAGCGCTGGTCTGACCAATCGGAGTCCACGCTTCAAGATTGTTTTGATTAAGCAGACTGGGATATGTTCCGGGTAGCCTCTGAGAATAATATAGACGTATACGCTGATTCGGTGAGTGGGTTTATAAGGAAGTGTATAGGAGATGTCGTACCCACTGTGACTATTAAAACCTACCCTAACCAGAAACCGTGGATACATGGCAGCATTCGTGAAAAACTGAAAGCACGAACCACCGCATTTAACCATGGCAAGGTGGCAGAATACAAACAGAGTGGTTGTTCCCTCTGCAAGGCAATCAAACAGGCAAAATGTCAATATCGATACAAAGTGGAGTCGCAATTCAACGGCTCAGACACGAGACGTATGTGGCAGGGTTTACAGACAATCACGGAATACAATAGGAAAACCAGCCACGTCGCGGACACCGACGTCTTGCTGCCAGACAAGCTAAACAAGTTCTTTGCCCGCTTTGAGGATAACACAGTGCCACCGACGCGGCCAGCTACCAAAGACTGTGGGCTCTCCTTCTCCGTGGCTGACGTGAGTAAGACATTTAAACGTGTTAACCCTCGCAAGGCTGCCAGCCCTGACGGTATTCCTAGCCGCGTCCTCAGAGCATACGGAGACCAGCTGGCTGGAGTGTTTACGGACATATTCAATCTCTCCCTATCCCAGTCTGCTGTCCCCACATGCTTCAAGATGGCCACCATTGTTCCTGTACCCAAGAATGCAAAGGTAACTGAACTAAATGACTATCGCCCTGTAGCACTCACTTCTGTCATCATGAAGTGCTTTGAGAGACTAGTCAATGATAATATCACCTCCACCTTACCTGTCACCCTAGACCCACTTCAATTTGCATACCGCCCCAATAAGTCCACAGGCGATGCAATCGCCATCACACTGCACACTGCGCTATCCCATCTGGACAAGAGAAATACCTATGTAAGAATGCTGTTCATTGACTATAGCTCAGCATTCAACACCATAGTACCCTCCAAGCTCATTATCAAGCTTGAGGCCCTGGGTCTCAACCCTGCCCTGTGCAATTGCCTCCTGGACTTCCTGACGGGCCGCCCCCAGGTGGTGAAGGTAGGAAACAACATCTCCACTTCGCTGATCCTCAACACAGGGGCCCCACAAGGGTGTGTGCTCAGCCCCCTCCTGTACTCCCTGTTCACCCATGACTGCGTAGCCATGCACGCCTCCAACTCAATCATCAAGTTTGCAGACGACACAACAGTAGTAGGCTTGATTACCAACAACAATGAGACAGCCTACAGGGAGGAGGTGAGGGCTTTCGGAGTGTGGTGTCAGGAAAATAAACTCTCACTCAACGTAAAAAAAAACTAAGGAGATGATCGTGGACTTCAGGAAACAGCAGAGGGAGTACCCCCCTATCCACATCAACGGGACAGCTTTGGAGAAGGTGGAACGTTTTAAGTTCCTTGGCGTACATATCAGTGACAAACTGAAAACAGACAGTGTTGTGAAGAAGGCGCAACAGCGTCTCTTCAACCTCAGGAGGCTGAATAAATTTGGCCCGTCACCTAAAACCCTCACAAACTTTTACAGATGCACAATTGAGAGCATCCTGTCGGGCTGTATTACCGCCTGGTACGGCAACTGCACAGCCCACAACCGCAGGGCTCTCCAGAGGGTGGTGCGGTCACCAGAGGCAAACTATCTGCACTCCAGGACACCTACAGCACCCGATGTCACAGGAAGGCCAAAAAGAGAATCAAGGACAACTACCACCAGAGCCACTGCCTGTTCACCCCGCTATCATCCAGAAGGCGAGGACAGTACAGGTGCATCAATGCTGGCACCGAGAGACTGAAAAACAGCTTCTATCTCAAGGCCATCAGACTGTTAAACAGCCATCACAAGCACAGAGAGGCCGCTGCCTACATACAGACTTGAAAATCACTGGCCACTTTAATAAATGGAACACTAGTCACTTTAATAATGCCACTTTAATGTCTTGCATTACCCATCGTATATGTATATACTGTATTCTATACTATCTATTGCATCTTAGACTATGCCACTCTGATAATGATAATGACATTGCTCATCCATATATTTATATATTCTTATTCCATTCCTTTACTTAGATTTGTGTGTATTAGGTTTTTGTTGTAGAACTGTTAGATATGACTTGCTAGATATTGCTGCACTGTCGGAACTAGAAGCACAAGCATTTCACTACACTCGCATTAACATCTGCTAACCATGTGTATGTGACCAATACATTTGATTTGATTTGATGACCTGGGCTCCACAATCCCCTGACCTCAACCAAATTTAAACGGTTTGGGATGAGCCAACAAGTGCTCAGCATATGTGGGAACTCCTTCAAGACCGTTGGAAAAGCATACCAGGTGAAGCTGGTTGAGAGAATTCCAAGAGTGTGCAAAGTTGTCATCAAGGCATAGGGTGGCTATTTGAAGAATCTCAAATATAAAATGTATTTTGATTTGTTTAACACTTTTTTGGTTAATACATGATTCCATATGTGTTATTTCATAGTTTTGATGTCTTCACTATTATTCTACAATGTAAAAAAAATTTAAAATAAAGAAAAACCCTTGAATGAGTAGGTGTGTCCAAACTTTTGACTGGTACTGTATATATATATTTCACAATCTCTAACCCACACAGGATCTGTCCGGCCTATGGAAATGCAACTCCCAACTTCCAAGCTAACCCACATCAAAATCCACCCGTGAATCCTGACATAATCACGGAATCCAATAAATGCTTTTGTCCTCCAGATATTCAAATAGAGAGAGCGGTGCACATTATTTGTGCAGACAAGCTTTTGTTTTAAGAAAGAGCCAGAGCTCGTAACTATGTAAATATAACATTCAACAATCAATCATCAGCCACTGGTTGGTTATACACTAGAGTATTTTTTGTGTTTATTTTTAACAGTGTACTATTTATTATAAATGCTAAGGTAATTGAAATGTGCCTATAGCATAGGATTCCCTATAGGATTCATATTTACTACGATGTTTACATACCGTATACAATGTAATTGTGTGTTCAAACAATACATCTTATGATTCAATTACACTATAACACATAAGGAGCAAAAAATAAAGACAAAAATGCTATCATGCTAATAAGCCATGGCAACAAAAGAGAATGACAATTGAAACGTTCCATAATATGATTTTTATTGTCCATATCATAATATTTTAACTGCCGTGTGAAATTGATCATCTCTAACATGTTTATTCACAATTGTACAGAGATAATGAAATGACACGACAAGTCGGGTTAAACTCCAAATGAAAATCCCCAAAGATATTACTCAGCAAATGACACTGTTCCAAATATTGACACAGTAGTGTGAATTGTGAGTTTAATACCTTTCCTTTTCTACAAAGGCTTTGTACAAATAGCTTAAAATGAATGAATGCCTTCTGTGAGTCGGAAAAGGAACATACAACTGCAGGCGGACAACTCTTTTTTTGCCTTCATCGAGCTGCCTTTAAAATCAACTCGATAAACGAACAGCTGAAATTAAACCTCTCCATTCAAATCCCTACAACAATGCATATGGAAAGGACTACAGTACAAGAGCACAACATATACACTATAATTTTTTATAAATAAATGTAACCCCTATTTTACCAGGTAGGTTGACTGAGAACACATTCTAATTTACAGCAACGACCTGGGGAATAGTTACAGAGGAGAGGAGGGGGGATGAATGAGCCAATTGGAAGCTGGGGATGATTAGGTGGCCATGATGGTATGAGGGCCAGATTGGGCCGTACCTTGTGGGTACATCACAATTACTCCATAGTGACCCGTATGGTTTTGTAACCTAAACACATTGTATGTGTATTACCATACCTCAGGAGCTTTACTACATCAAATTGTAATTGAAAGAGCAGTGGAGAACGTCACCTCACACCAAAGCTGGTTTTAGGTTAAGTCAACTTTAAACCTCATGTTTATGGTAGGGCTGGGACGATACCAGTATCACTATATTTTTTCCATGGCAAAAATAAAAACACGAAGCAGAGCTATTTGGTCCTTTAAAACCTGCTTTATGTCAAATATTGTGTGTTATAGCTTGGAAAATAACTTCCAGTGACTGGATGACAACATAATGGCGTTTGTTTCCAACATTAGGGCTGTTTTCCTAAAGTTAAATCTGCTTCGTGTTTTGTTTGCTTGCCACGATACTAACGAGTATCATGACACTGGTATCGTCCCAGCCCTAGTTTATGGCCAGTACCTGCTCTGGTGCCTGCTTCAGCGACTTGTAAAATGGGCCCGCAACAGATCTCTGTGGGACACCACAGCATCGGGCTTTGGTGAATGATGACTAGTTGGAGGTCAAAGTTAGGATCGTTATCTGGCCCTCGTCAGATGAATTATTTCCACCAGACTGTGAGGGCAGCAGCATCTACCTCTGACTGCAGTGTGTGTGTGTGTGTGTGTGTGTGTGTGTGTGTGTGTCTGTCTGTCTGTCTGTATGTGTTTCGTTACAGAGTCCTAGTGGTTTAACTCAAAAGGGCTGGGATCCAAAGCAGTCCTAAATAGGGGTCTGGATGATAGTGTGCTGAGCAAAGACAGAGATGGAACGAAGGTTTACCCTCATCAATCACCAAGCAGATGGCTTTGCAGGTTAGGTTCTGACCCACAGGTGGTCCTGCTGTTTGTCTTCCCTGGGTTAATATGGGTTCAGAATGAGAGATGTGGAACTATGCTGGGAAAGACTAGTACGAGAGTTCACACATTTCAGTGCTCTCCAAGTGCTTGGGAGAGTGTCGCATGAAAAACTGCCTTGCCTCTTTGGTAAAAATTTGAACCATCTGTCTGATACGTTAACACATTTCTATCTATTTGTAGACATTAATACATATGGATGCCTATACAGCAATATAATGCACAATGGGTGTGATGGAAAGCTCTACAACTTCATTGAACGTGTTGCTGCCTCTTTTGCTGACTATAACCATTCTTAACAAGGCAGAATGAATGGCAAAGTTAGAAAGAGAAAGATGTTTTTGTCCTGAACAAAGGCCAGTGAAACTAAAATGGAGTGTAAGCTATTTCATAACGACATTCCCTAAAGACTGGATAGAGAAGAAAATACTCACTTGTGGGCTTGACATAGACTTTCAACTTCAAACAGGGTTTCCCAACAAGGTTAGGATGTGGAGACGCTGGAACGAGAGAGAGAGAGAGAGAGAGAGAGAGAGAGAGAGAGAGAGAGAGAGAGAGAGAGAGAGAGAGAGAGAGAGAGAGAGAGAGAGAGAGAGAGAGAGAGAGATAGAGAGAGTAGAGAGAGAGAGAGAGAGAGAGAGAGAGAGAGAGAGAGAGAGAGAGGCATGTGTTTGTTAATGAATAACACATTCAGCAGCAGTTTTCTAATCAAATCTCTGAGAAAATAGCTCAAATTATACGGCCTGGGAAGAACGGTAAGTATGTTTCATTAGAGGGCTATAGCTGAAATGTACCCTATCCTCATTGGACCCAGATTTCACAGAGGTGATCCATCAGATACTCATTTCAGTCCTCTTTCAGTCTCCCCGCAAAATTAATCCACACCATTTTATTAGCAACCCAGTTGAGGGGCAGTATCCAATTATGTGTGAAAACAACAGTGGCCATCTTGGTAGAAGAATTTGGGTGCCAGAAGTCAAGTTTGTAACACCTGAGGAGTTTTTGACCCTTGTCTTCTTGTGTAACCCTGTCCCTCTGACATTGCCACCACAGTTGGAACATGGAACACCGTGGTGGCCAGGTGCTGCATGTCCTGAGACGTTAGTCTCGCTCGCTAATCACTTTGCAGGCTGTTACTGTGACTGGGAGTGCTAGGAACAAAACTCCACTACTCCACAGTCCAAGTGCCTCAGCTTACTCACACACCATATGGCTCAGTAAGGAAAAACAACAAGCAACTCGATGCAACCTCTGATATGCTAATAGCATCACTAGAAACAACCAAAACACCACAGCATCGGGAATAGCCAAAGAAAGAATAGCCAGACTGCTAAATAGAACATGAACGGTACCCGAACTATCTGCACTGACTCTATCTTGCACTGATCCTATACACACTCACTAGACTATATATACACACCATGTACACACTCACTCACACACACTACATTGACACAAAACCCACACATATTCACATACATTATACGCACACACAGACATAACACACGCATACCGACACAACACAAACACACTTTTACACTCATCATTTGCTGCTGCTACTCTGTTCTTTATTTTACGCGTATTATTATCTATCCTGATGCCTAGTCACATTGCCCTGCCTTCATCTACATATCTACCTCAAGTACCTCTGCACATTGATCTGGTACTGGTACTCCCTGTATATAGCTGCCACATTGATCTGGTACTGGTACTCCCTGTATATAGCTCCACATTGATCTGGTACTGGTACTCCCTGTATATAGCTCCACATTGATCTGGGTACTGGACTCCCTGTATAGCTCCACATTGATCTGGTACTGGTACTCCCTGTATATAGCTCCACATTGATCTGGTACTGGTACTCCCTGTATATAGCTCCACATTGATCTGGTACTGGTACTCCCTGTATATAGCTTCACATTGATCTGGTACTGGTACTCCCTGTATATAGCTCCATTCTTGTGTATTTTATTTTATTCCTTGTTTCTATTTTTATTTTTATTATTTTAAACTGCATTGTTGGGATGGCTCGTAAGCAAGCATTTCACGGTAAATTCTACACCAGTTGAAATAACATTTGATTTGACTTTGGGCCACAGGAGGTTGGTGGCACCTTAATTGGGGAGGATGGGCTCGTGGTAATGGCTGGAGCGGAATGGGTGGAATGGTAACAAATACATCAAACATGGTTTCCATGTGTTTAATGCCATTCCATACGCTCTGTTCCAGCAATTGTTATGAGCCGTCCTCCCCTCAGCAGCCTCCACTGCTTTGGGCGTAGTGCTGCATTCTTAACCTTGGAAAACCATTTTGTCCAGTCAAAAGTGTAGTTTTTTGTGCCCAAAATGGAAGGCAGCACTTTCATAATTTCACTGTAGCGAATTCTGTTTTATTTTGATTCTCGGTATCCATAAAACAACACTGTTTTATTCAAAACAAATAACAGGCACCAAAATCGCCACTTTCTTGCATCAGCATTATTGGTAATTGGTCTTTTAAACACAGTGGGGAATCAGTTCAGATGGGGAAAAGGTGTTTGGTTGGGGTTCGGGGTGTGTGTGTTTATTTGGGTTTGTATTTGAGTGTGCATATTTGGTATTTCCGCCTGAGTGCACATGGGGTGGAGAGGGGAGTGGAGAGAGGGTTGTTGTTGGCAGTGACGGAGCAGTCTGGACCGGTGTGTGTGTGTGTGGTGTGTATGGGGTATATGGAAATGCAGATGAATAGGGGTCTGATAGGGTACGTTGAATGCCACCTCTAGCCCTCCATCAGCTCTGGGAGCTTGGGGTAGATGGGTAGGAGTAGAGGTGGTAGAGGAGAGTAGTGGGTAGAGGGGTAGAGGGTAGGGTAGAGGGTTGGGGGGATAGAGGTGTAGAGGGGTAGAGGAGGGTAGGGGTTAAGGGGATAGAGGGGTAGGGTAGAGGTAGGGGGTAGGGGGTAGGGGGGTAGAGGAGGTAGGGGGGTAGGGGGTTGGGTGGGTGAGGGTAGGGTTAGGGGGTAGGGGGGTAGAGGAGGGTAGGGGGGTAGGGGGTTAGAGGGGTAGGGTAGAGGGGTAGGGGGTAGAGGGGTAGGGGGGGTGGGGTAGAGATGGAGGGGGTAGGGGGAAGTTGGGTAAAGGAGGGTAGGGGGGTAGGGGTAGAGGGTAGGGGGGGGGGGGTAGGGGGGTGGGGGGAGGGGGGGAGGGGGGGGGGGGGGGGGGGGGGGTTTTGAGGAGGGTAGGGGGGTGGGGGGGTTGGGGGAGAGGGGGGTAGGGGGGTGGGGGGTAGAGGGGGGGGGTTTTAGAGGGGGGTGGGGTTGGGGGGGGGGAGGGAAAAGGGTGGGGGGTGAGGTGTAGGGGGGGGTAGAGGAGGGTGGGGGGTTTAAGGGGTTTAGGGGAAAAAGGGTGGGGGGGGTTTTGGGGGGGTGGGGGGGGGGAGAAGGGTTTGGGGGGGGGTAGAGGGTAGGGGGGGTAGGGGGGGTAGGGGGGTTTGGGGGTGAGGGGGTAGGGGGTAGGGGGGTAGGGGGGTGGGGGGGTAGGGGGTAGAGGGGGGGGGGGGGTAGGGGGGTAGAGGGGTGAGGGTAGATGAGATGGAGGGGTAGGGGGGTAGGGGGGTAGAGGGGGTAGAGAGGGTAGAGCGGTAGAGGAGGGTAGCGAGGTAGGGGGGTCACTTTGGGGGTGATGGACATGACCCTTGGTTCACAGAGCTAAGCCCCCTTTTCACCCCGGTAACTCCCCGGTAACTCTCCGACTTCTCAAGCATCCCCCTTTTCCCTAACACCACAGGGCCATGACAGCAACAATATTGGAACCATTTTCTGAAGGGGGGGGGGGGGGAGCCTGGGCTGCTGTCGGGGACAAAGGGCCACACAATGCGGGGCCTGGCTAGGCACTATGAGGAGGAGTGCATTAAAAACAGCTCAGGAAGGGGAAGAATCGGCAGACACTGAATGCCAAATTTGAACTCGCTTTTCTTTTTGTTGCCAGCCCTCTGTCTCTCCTCCACTCCTCTTTTCCAGGAACGACAACATCCTGCTGAGTAGAATAAGCCCACTGGTTAGGGGTGGAACATTTAGACGTGAGTGAGTGATGGGCCAGGGGTGCTGGGTAAAATAAATTATTTAGCAAATTATTTTTTATTTCTGCTGAGACGCACTTTTAAATGGATAGTCGTTGGCTCAATGACTGGAAGTCTATGGGACCAGCTACAGTAGTATGTTACTGTGCTAATGCTAGTAGCAATGCAACCGGCCTGGCAAACCTAGCCCTGTCCTGTCATGCACATGGACACACCGCACCTGGGTCATGTGACCACGGAAGGGGAAACACCTCTGACGCAGGGAAATGGGAAGTGGCGTGCATACCACAACCTTGAAGTCAAAGCTGGGCGTGTGTGGGCATGGGGCATCCAGTAGGCGAGGTGTCAGGCCTGTCTGGCCGTGTTCAACCCGCTGCACCACGTCCACAAAATTGCAATGACCACAGTCCGTAGCCAGAAGGACACAATTACCCTATCAGGTTCCCTCAGCTAAATATGATTTGACCAATCAGCATAATTTGAAGCGTTCCGCATGAGGTCGTCGGTAACTGGTTTTGCACCGATCTCACCCCGTGAAGCTAAGCACCCAGCTAATAGCTCGCTTGCCATTTGACAAATATAAATTTTAATCAAGGGGTGGAAGGAAATGGGATGCGTCTGGGCGCCACAGAAAAGGACGGCAGGTCAGGCACAAAACACATGGATGGACAAGTCAACCGGAATCTGGAGATAAATGATATGTCTGGGCTCCCCTCTGGTTTGGTCGCTGTATGTTGTGATTGGTCACAGTACGTCTGTTTGATTACGCTTCATTTCACGGGCCATGATTTACCTTGTAACAGCTTAATTACATTGCTTTTGCCTTGTAACTATATTTTGTTTAAATTAAACTAATTAGCGCAAGGAACCATTTGATATCAACTGGTTCACAATTCTATTGAATTACTTCAAAGAAGTACCTGGTAACGATCGTTCGTTTCTCATAAATAGCAGGTAAAGTTGGTTTTGATGCAGAATAGTCATCCGCCACTTCTCTGTGTATACAGGCTGTGCTCTACCTCTCTGGCTCTCACACTGTGGTGTGAACAGCCCGTTCCTGGTTGGTTCCTAGCCCTGGCACTAGCAGGGAACCATGCATGGGAGCCAAATGAAACCACAAAGCAAAGCCTATTAATTAAACCCCTAACGCTATTTTGGCTTCCTCCCCTTCCTCCGCCGCTTCCCACCAAATGAGATCAAATCAACCTTCAAATGACCAGGAAACAAGTAGATCCACCTGACATTCCCTTATATCCATCAACTGAAGAGCGATGGGTTGACAGAGCTGAATATTCTTGACGGGTCACAGCTGTTTCTGTTTGGTGTGGTCAGTGGGGGATCCAAAGTAATTTCTTCCTCGCATATTATTTTCTCTACATAACTTGGGGACATAACCAGTGTGGGGGTGAATCACATGTTCTACTTACAGATGTAGTAGTACTCGTGGCCCGGCCGGAACTCGAAGCCTAGCGAGAATGGGGTGAAGAGCTGGAACTTCTCTGAGAACTTGAGCGGTCCGTTGGGGCTCTGGGGCCGGTTGCACTCCCAGCGCTTGAAGCCCTTCATGCGGTGGTCGCAGGTGGTGTAGCCGTCGTAGTTGACCATGAAGAGGATGTAGCGCTCCATGCGCTCTTGGGGGAGCGGGTCCTCGTAGTGGGGGCAGTAGATGTCCAGGTAGTCGTTGATGGCCACCTCCACTGTGTACTCCCCATGGAGAAACCTGCAGATGAGACATAGGCCAAATATGAACATTAAAAAACATATGTTCATCAACTGTTATATAAACAGAACACTAAACACGTAATATAAATGTAATAGAGGCATGTACTGTAACAGAGCTCCAGATGAAACAACGTTAAAGTGGGCAATGTTTCTGCCCCTGATGGACCCAACTAAATGACTATGAATTCCACCTAAAGCACTCTCAAGAACAGACTACCTATCAACAGCACCTATCGTCCATCTGATACATACTAACACAGAAAGGTATAAAGACAGCATAACATGGTGCTAATACTCTATGGACGAAGGAGCTGGGTGAGGAGGACAAAGAAGAGGTGGTGAACGGGTGCAGGAGGAGGACAAGGGCCTGGAGGCAGGGGTTCACAGAGTGAGAGCAGCTTCATTAAGCTCTTTCACAGGGCCCTGGCTCTCGCCCAGCTCTGGCCAAATGACTTTGTCGCTCATGGCAATTTCGATACAAATTGAGCACCTGCACGGTGGCACAGATCTGGCCCTCTAATAACAAAATCCCAGAGAGTGCAACCACGTGCAAGTTTACAGGTAGCTATACCGCCCTCGCCCCCATGGCTATTAACTCCATCGCACGAGACCAGGTGAAACGGCTCAAATCACAGCCCAGATGACGATTGTGTGGCTCCATCTCCACTTTCTCCAGGCCCTAGTCCTCTGTCTGGCTCAATCACACTGCACATGGATTTTCCCAATAGTTTTGCGTCCGCAGCTTAAGTGACAAGTCGTTGGGGGCATCGGGCTGCGTGCTACGCCACTGCTTATAACTATAAGTAAGGTACAACTATAAGAAATATAAGATGTGTCAAATAAATTATGTGCAGCTCAGGGTTCCAGCTATGCATTTGGTTTGCTAACTTACTAGTTAAGTGGCTAGAGGTCAAGATCAAGCTTCTTGGTTACAGCAGAGACATTAAACCCCCTCCTGGATCAAGATCCCTGTTGCCTAAATTGTTTTGTGCGTAAAACAACTAATTAAAAAAAATGTTGTCGTTTTTAGCACCCCTTATGTACACATTCGGTAATTTCATATACCCCGGTATGGTACAGAAACGGTATGACGGTATGAAAATCTGGATACCACCCAACCCTACTTACCCCCCGCCGTTGAGGCACCTGCTCCTAGACCTCACATAGTTAATGCTGTGACCGTAACCAAATTCCTATTCTAAATCACAATACACAATTAACAGATAATCACAAATTAAATCTACGAGATGGTTCTAGAGATGGTTTACACATCAAACTGTTTGTATACATGTGAAATCTGGTCTTGGTGTGTGTACTGTATTTAATTGCGGGCCACTGTGTTTCGTAATTAACCACATAAACTCTGAAGCCAATATGAGAAAAGGTTTGACACACAGACCCAAAATTCACAGACTGACCACCGTATAAGTCACCCCCTGAGTCCCCCTTGGACGGAGCGTCACTTCTCCCTCTCGAATTTCCTTATCAGTCGCGCCATGAGGCCCATAATCCTTCAAAGGGCTCTGGTGGGGAGAAGTGACGTCGCCATTTTGAGTCTTGTAGTGATAAACCCTTGCTCAAACACCAGCCATGTTGGTGAAAGTACCGCCAGATCAGTTGCAGCTCGTGGGCTCAGAGCGTGGAAAAGTGAGGGAGAAGAGGGGACCACCAGGGGGATAGGATGGGGGGTACGGGGTTATGTTATGGAGTGGGGAGAAGGGGGAGAAGGGGGTTGCAGGCAGGCCTGGCATCAGATGACAGGTAATCTGGGGGGGTTGGAATTAGTGTTAGAGGGGCCTATCCAGCTGCTGTGTGAGGATCTTCTCCAGTCCCCCCTTTACTACCCCTGCTGCCCTCCCGGCCCCCCCCCCACACTACTCCTCCCCCCACCCTCTGCTGCCCCCCCGGCTTCTGTTTTTCTCTGAGTGCTGCGGCCATCGCCATCTCTCTTTCGGGATTGAAATAGTCCTTTATTTTTGATAAATCAATATCCTATCCTTCTCCCTCCTTTCCCGCTCTGTCGTTTCCCATGGTTCTTGGCAGCATTGCCAGTCATTAAGGGACAGTGGAGGCAGATCGAGGAAGGGTTTGACGGAGCGATGGAGCAGCATCCAGTCTTTGATTGAGCTCCATGACACTTTGTTGGAAATGGAAATGACCTCGTTAGGCAGTCAGGTGGGAGGAGAGGAAGAACATCATGACAGATCCAAATATCAATAAAACGGCAGCCAGGGGTGTGTGATGTGTGCGTGTATGTGTATGTGTGTGTTTCTGTGAGTGTGAGGGAGAGCTAATGCATGCAAGCTATCTGTGGTCTTGCAATCACTCGCGCCAGCCTCGGCACTCCCTTCCCCCACTGTCACCTGCATGTCGTGATTGGTGGTTCTGTTGAAGCCGCCCCCCACCTTCCCCCTTTCAGACATTTACAGCAAATCAAATATCATCCTGGCTACAGTTTACTCCTGTCAGGGGGGAGACAGGTTCCACCCTGATGGCTCAATAGGGTCTTGCTCCTGCAGATACCTTCTCAGGACACAGACGCTGTATACGAGCTCAGACAGCTCTAACGGTGCCATAGAGGATGTTGCGTTGCCGCCAACAGCAGCACGGGTGGTGAAATGACATTTAGAATTAGAAGCTATGTACTAGCTAGTGTTGTGTGTGTACTAGCTAGCTATATGTACATACTCAGGGCCGTAACCAGGGTCTGTGTTTTTGTGAGCTCATGTACTGCATTAGTATATAGTTGAAAAAACTCTCAAATGCTATTTGGAGAACAGCTAAAACAAGCAAAAATGACCCCAGCCATTATCACATTGGTTGCTGTGGCTTCATTCACACATGGGATTAAAACTATGGGATTAAAAACTTTATTTTTTTCAGTTGTAAAGCTAGTTTCCTGCAATTCGACACATTTTAATACGATATCTGAGTGAGAGTGACTAAGAAAATCAATGGTGGCCCCCTGGAGGTCAGGGCCCCTGGGTACGTGCCATGTGTGCCCGGTTGGTCATTCGGCCATGATTACTACAAGTTTAGATAGACGGCTAGACTAACTAGACTAATTTACCAATCTAAAATGTTTGAACTGAAATGGCTTAATTGAGTGACTGTCAGTGAGTGACACATAACAAAAGGAAAACTGCTGATGCACAACTATGTTTCGAAATTGCACCTTGTGTATTCTACTATTCTAACTCTCAACAGTAAGTTTAGACTCCGGTGACCTCATATGTACTGTAGTTATGGCCCTGTGTGTACTAGCTAGCTAATGTGTGCTAGCTAGCTGCACACGCAACAGTGGTTAACATAACGCCCTGGATCATAGCTAGTGCGCCGACTGGTATGCGCGTAGCACACTGACACCCTGGAACAAAGCTACTGACTCATGCGATACACCCAACCAACAAATGTCTACAGGTTGCACGCGCACATACCATCTGAGACGCAAACATACCATCTGAGACGCAAACATACCATCTGAAACGCAAGCGCATGCGCTTTGAGGTTTGCAGACCAGGCGGCCTCAGCACGAATAATCAGCAGCTGGATGCTTCTCTGATGGTTTGCTATGACAGCCTCTAAACATGCACTAGCGCCTGGCCCAGACTCTTCCCTTCCATACACCAAACGCGTTCTCACAACATTCTCACTGCCCTCAATCCAACGTGGACAAGCAAGCACCATGCATGGCGGCCATTTTGTCAACCGCCCGTCCCATTCCTCTGAGATCAGAAACACATGGTGGTGATTGATCAATTTAGCTTTCAAACTATGAAAAAAGACAGGGTGAGTTCCTGGACTTTGAAAGCTCCCAGAGAGTTTCAGTCTTCACAGTCTGTCTGACTACCAACAAACCAAACCCCCCGTGGGAGCTTAATTAATCAGGCCCAATGTTTATAAGTGCATTATAAAGTGTTTATAACTGGGTGATTTAGGAGGGCTGAACTTTAAAAGCCGGCCTGGGTTTCTTGTGTGGTTTTTTGAAGACCACTTCTTCTCTGATTTACTGTCTTGTCAAGCTCAGCTTGGACCTGGCAATGTGGTTTAACTCAGCCCCTCTTTATGATTTCATGGGCTAAATGTTTGTTCGTAAGGCTGTCTGCTTTTGAAGCCATGCATGCAGGAAGAAGGCATCTGCAAAGGGAAGACGTCAAAACCGAACAGCATGGATAATTTAGAACGCTATTCTGACTTCAGGTGGTGGAAAAGAGCTAGGACGCTCTCTTCTGTACTAGTAGGAATTATACAACGCTTCTTAAAGCTTAAAGGGATAGCTCAATAAAATGTATTTGAAAAGAACTACCACTGCAAATTGGAGCTCTATACTTTCATTGTCTAACAACGATTATGTTTCATGTTTAAAAGGGACACAGATATTAAAAATGGCAATAGTGAATTTCAAAATGTCCCAGAAGATACTGTAAACTGCTGCCTTTAAAGTAAAAACATGTTATGACAACATTGTGACCAATCCTTTAAAGCTTGCATTACCATCACCCATGGAAGATAGCATGTGACCAATCATATCAGAACTTCCTGGCCCCCTGGACCAATGAGATGACGTGAGTGGAGAGAGAGAGAGGGTACAATAGAGAACTTTCCCCTCCCAGCATTCCTTTCCCTATCTCTCCCTCCCTGCGGGCCAGTTCACCCCACCACCCAGCAAAAATACAAAAACATGTGCTTTCCGTGCCACCTGCTCGACCCTCTGACAGAGAACTCCAGCTGCTTGTTTGTCTGCAGAACACAGGTCCAGGATGGAACAGGAGATGGTGGTGGTGGTGTGTGTGTGGGTGGATGGGGGGCACATGGGGTAGAACATTACTCTTCAGTTTCTGCCTACAGTACCCCAGATTACTCTCCATACAGATCCTTTATGCCCCTTTAATACCCACACCAATCTGTGTATAGACTCTGGAAGCCTGACGCATGCTATTGTTGATTCGTTTGTAGGATTTTTCCTGGAATTCCAGGATTAACAGCAAAAAGCCAGACCAGGTTTGTTTACATTGTGAAGATTTTGGCAAAAGTCGGTATACGTTGTCTGGGGGTTGCCAGGATCGGTATCCTAGATGTGGAAATTACGTGACTTTTTTTTTTTTTACCTCCGCCGTCCGCTCCTCCATTTTTGACACACACCCAAAGCAAACAGAGGAATTTACTCTGCAATTAACCGATGACCTCGGCAAATTGACTTAATACAAACAAATGGACTTAATAACTTGACACAACCCTTTTAAACACTTCAAACCCATTTTTCATCAGCATGTCATCTGATTACATTGGAGTCCTGGTCTAGGCCTAGCCTTCCTGCCCACAGCAACGTCCAATCTAGGCTCCAGCTAGGGCTGTAACATTTGTCACAAGTATTCTCACTCATTTTCTGGTGCGAGTCCAATGTAAGCACGTTAGCATTAGCGATTTCGGTGGAGAGTTTCCGCGGACAAGTCATGTAACTGAAGTCTCCCTGTGTTTATAATTTAACGAGTTGGAGGGTTGGTGGTGGTGGTGGTGGTGGTGGTGTTGGTGGTGGTGGGGCGGGGGGGGGTTAGGGGGGGTGAGGGAGAGAGACGGGACAGGAGCGGGTGCTAGGCTGGGGGGGAGAATGTTCCTTTGTGGTCTCACTGAGGCCTGTCTGGAAGCCATTTCCACGTGTTAGTCCTCCGGCCTGGCCTGCATCTGGAGCCCACCTCTCGCCATGTGGAACGTGTTTATTGTTCTTTGTGTCAGGCAGAAACACAGACAGCCCTCCCTCCCTACTCTCCCTCTATCCATCCTTCCCTCCTACTCTCCCTCTATCCATCCTTCCCTCCCTACTCTCCCTCTATCCATCCTTCCCTCCCTACTCTCCCTCTATCCATCCTTCCCTCCCTACTCTCCCTCTATCCATCCTTCCCTCCCTACTCTCCCTCTATCCATCCTTCCCTCCCTACTCTCCCTCTATCCATCCTTCCCTCCTACTCTCCCTCTATCCATCCTTCCCTCCCTACTCTCCCTCTATCCATCCTTCCCTCCTACTCTCCCTCTATCCATCCTTCGCTCCCTACTCTCCCTCTATCCATCCTTCCCTCCCTACTCTCCCTCTATCCCTCCCTCCTTCCCTCCCTCCCTACTCTCCCGCTATCCCTCCCTCCCTACTCTCCCTCTATCCCTCTATCCCTCCCTACTCTCCCTCTATCCCTCCCTCCCTACTCACCCTCTATCCATCCTTCCCTCCCTACTCTCCCTCTATCCCTCCCTACTCACCCTCTATCCATCCTTCCCTCCCTACTCTCCCACTATCCATCCTTCCCTCCCTACTCTTCCTCTATCCATCCTTCCCTCTCTCCTCTCCCACTATCCCTCCCTCCCTACTCTCCCTCTATCCCTCCCTCCCTACTCTCCCTCTATCCCTCCCTCCCTACTCTCCCTCTATCCCTCCCTCCCTACTCTCCCTCTATCCATCCTTCCCTCCCTACTCTCCCTCTATCTCTCCCTCTATCCCTCCCTCCCTACTCTCCCTCTATCTCTCCCTACTCTCCCTCTATCTCTCCCTACTCTCCCTCTATCTCTCCCTACTCTCCCTCTATCTCTCCCTCCCTCCCTACTCTCCCTACTCTCCCTCTATCTCTCCCTACTCTCCCTCTATCTCTCCCTACATCTCTCCCTCCTCTCCCTCTATCCCTCCCTCCCTCCCTACTCTCCCTCTATCCCTCCCTCCCTCCCTCCCTACTCTCCCTCTATCTCTCCCTCGATCCCACCCTCCTCTCCCTCTATCCCTCTGTAATTTCTGCTGTTATTCCAACTAGGCATGGAGCAATATTCCTATCGAGGCGTTTACACAAACTTAACCTCCAGTTGATGTTCGGCCAACGGCAAGGAAAAGCGTTGCGTCAAAACAAAAACAAACAAACAAGACGAGGAAGATTTGGGGGGAGGGGAGGATACATGGGGGAGGATGC